TATTTTTAATACACCATGGGTTAATACTAATAACTTTTTTATTGTTGTTAGATTGGCATGAATTTGAGTGCAAGCATATAGTTTTGACTATATATAATCAATAATACTTACTTTGACAGAAACCCTTGATATATACCTTAATTGGCCATGAATTTGGGTTGTTCCAAACAATCTCTTGAGTGAATAACTTTTAGTTTTTATTTTATTTTATTTATTATTTATGTGTTAATTGCATCTCGAGTGACATCGGTTTAATTTTGAAAAATTATAATTATATTTAGTGACACGTGAAATATACTAGTTTCTATCATTGAATTATCTAGAATGTATGACTATTGGAGATAATTGACCATCCGATCCATATATAGCAAGATAATTTCCATTATAAAGTTTTCAAAGAAAGAGATTAGTAGAAGGCATCCCCAACTACGACGCAATGGGGGGGGGGGGGGGGGGGTTTCTAAGAAACAGATGGAGACGGAGAGAAAAGTATGTACATGCATTTTGAAAACTTTGGACAAAAGAGGAAGTCAAGACGTGGACAGGCATTTGCATTTTCTTTATTTATTTTTTTAATAAGAGAAGACACGTGCATTGAAACTTGGAAAATGTAGACTACTATTCTATTCGTTTGAAAGTTTGGTTAGGAGATCCGCGCAGCCATATCTTCGACCTATGCACACGGCTGATGCTCAGAGTTGAATTATTTGGGTTCGATTTAGATTTGATTCGTATAAAATTAAATGCGAGTTTGGCTTTTTTAAAAATATGAGTTGAATTTGAGTAATTTTTTAGGCTCGTGATTTAACTCGAACTCGTAAAACTCAACTAGTTTATATGTAAAATAATTCATTTTAAACTTAACTCATATTTTAAATAAGTCGAAATTGAATAATTTTGTTGGTTCATTTAAATAAATAAGTTCGACAAACTCAATTCTAACTCACAAAACTCGACTCAAGTATCAATCTTACCTACAAATTCGGCAAAGATAATTAGTGTGCATGAATTGTTTGAAATATTAAAGATCACGAGCCCTACAGTTCACAACTGCCCTCAAACGACAAAGGTTGGATATGATTTTTTTTTTTGGAAAATAGTTGGATTTGATGTCAAAAAGTTAATTTCATTGTAAATATGGAATTGAATAAGGAAAATATATTATTTTAAAATGTATAAAAACTTGAGGTCGAATTTAAAAAGATTTCATAATTGCATTGTAATCCGCCAAATAAAGCCATCCAAACAGGCCCACCATGTGCCTGGACTCTATTAGATAGTGCCTCATGCATGAACTGATGAGCAAGAGCACAGACAGCCTCTGCTACACTAGTTCTCTCTGTCTCTCTCTCTCTCTCTCTCTCTCTCTCTCTCTCATCATCAATCAACTACTTTAGAATTTCGGAGGAGGAATACAATAAGCCGCCATCCATGCATTTGCTCTCGGGATATTTTTTAGTAAAAATTGAATACTTTTTTTTTTTAGAGTGAGTGGATCATATGCCACGATTTTTGCTTGGTTTGCTTCCTGATCTTGTGGCAGATATGGAATCTCGGGTTCCACATGTCAAAAAGAACAAATTACTTTGAAAGATGCATTCCGAGTCTCCTTATTCTGTCAAGTGTCAAAAGGACCTTTTTGTGTATTTGTCTGCTTATAAAAAAAACACTTTCGGCCAATGGACTAGATTAATTCCTAAACTTCATTTCCTTTTTCATATCATTTCTGCCCCCCAATCCATGTCATGTGAATGAATATTAATTCTTACATGCGTTAAGCCATTAATTCATCATTTGGGCAGGATGCTGTTGTACTGGTAGTATCATAAAAGGGTATACATATCAAGTACTACTATGTTTTGTTAACGTCTCAATGACCTAATTAGTAGGACTAAAGTAGGCAGAGTGACCAACGGAATTTGAAGCTCCATAGCAATGTTTTTCTGCTCCACTGTTTGTTAGCTTACCGTACCCCACCCCACCCATCAGAAGAAATTAACAACATTGAATTGGGAAAATGCCAAAACTGCATCAAAAACAACTACTCAAGTGCTACTTTGATTCAAATACCTATTAACTATAATAACAACAGTATTCCAACCATACAATACAATGCCAGAAGGAATAAAGCTGCAATACTCTCAATGCCCCTATTTCCCATCAAAACAAAATGCATTTTCTAGCCATCCCAAAAACTAATTCAACACACTAGTCACAGAAATTTTGAATTTATAATATAGAGTTTGGAATATAGTAGAATTCACTAGTCCTATTTCGTTATATATAATTGAAAATGATGGTATCGTTTGTTGTATTCAATTTTGAAATGGTATCGTGAAATCTCTTGAAATTTGGTTAGATAAGATTATAAAGTCTATTCATGTTATTTTGTCAAGAACCTTGTCGAGCATTACTTTCTAAAAAATCCCATCAAATATTGTTCAAAACTTATATTTAATGTTTCACCTGAGAATCCCATCATAGTTTTTGAGTCAAATTATAAACTATACCAATGACTTTGACCATTGGATTCAACATAAGTTAAACAATAATCAACCTAGAACAATTGGGGCCGGGACATTATCAACAAGGAGCTCCAACAACGATGAGAGGTGATGATGATGGATACGAAGAATGAATCGATTATTTATTTTATTTTGGCCAAAATTTGAAGGATAAATAACATTTGCATTCAAAATTCCATTGGAGTCTTGTCATTATTTATGAAGCATCAAAGCATAGTTAGAAAATAAATCTAAGAATTAGGGGATGTTATTATAATTTTAACATATTCCTTTGTTTTTTTTTTGTTTTTTCGTTGGTAGAAAAAGGAGTCATGGTGACCAAGGAGAAGAAACATCGAGTGCAGGATTCGAACGTTCGTCGCCAAGAAACATATTTCGTGTCCCCTACTACTACTACCTCTGTCTTTAAAAGCGCTCATTCGTCCCTCGTCCCCACCACTGTCCCCCCTTAAAATGCTTTCCTTGCTCCGCCACCATAGTTTTTAGGATAAACTACATGAATGACCCCTGAATTATGGGTTTCATTTTAAATTGCCCCCTAAACTTTAAATTTTTAAAATTTTTCCCCTTAACTATTTAATTTGTTTTAATCAACACTTTATGTTAAAATCAATCGTTAAGTTAGACAACTACCAAACAAGTGACTTGCACATAACTATTTGGTTGGGGGCATTTAAGGGAGTTTAAACAAATACCCTTTCATTTGACTTCAGGCTATTAGGAACAAGAGTTCCATGGCCAACGCCGACATACATCATTTGACTTTCACCTGCAATTATGAACTAGGGTTTAAGTCTTGAGTACAATTAAGGCAAAATTTCATCGTTTATTGCGAGAAGTGTGCTATGTTTTTCATATGGACAATTTTTGTCTTTTTTTGGAACCCATTTCACATAAACTTGTGTTTAAGAGTCCTTTGCAAAAGTTAGATATTTGTATATGCACGAGAGATTTTCTGCAATAAATAGAGATAGCGATCTCCACGAGGATGAACCTGAAACAACCAAAAGGTCAAAAAAGGGTCGGGTGAACATTCAGTTTATCCCCTCTGAAACTTAAGTCAATAAAAGTTTAGAGGCTTTAGCACAATATCTCTTTTTTTTATGTTTAGTCTTACGTACCTTTATTCATTTTTCTGAGGAATATTTATATTTGGATTAGTGATGAGTGTCAGTGCTTGAAGTCTCATCTCAACATTTAATGACTTGCATTCTTACTCATGCGTAATGAGTATTCTCCACTTAGATCTTTGTGCCTAGTTTACTCGGGCGATAGAACGACTGCTCAGGATATGCCGAGCACTTATGATTCTTTCCTCGGCCATTTAAGTCCTCTGATCGACAATTTGACATCTATTTCTGAGTGTTCAATGCTCTAAAATCATGACTGTCAGTTTGGGTCTCGAGAATGCAGGGACTCATTAATAAGCCTCTCACAATCACTGGCATCTCCATTGATGAGCTGTCAAATCGCCTTAAATGCTGGTGTCAGTTAGTGTACTCGGCTCCTCCAAGCCCTCTTTCCTTGGTGCCACCCTTTGGCGTTCTTTGAGTTCCATAACGGCTACATCTTTTTACGTGTTAATCTAGGGGCTGCTTAGCTGTCTAAAGTCCCGTCAGTATATTCAGATGCATGTGCAATAGTTTGAATGTTGAGTTTGGTGATATTTTCGTCTATAAAATTTTGTCTCCTTGGGACTACTTGTGTTAGTTTTCTTAAGAGGCTGCAAAGCATGTGCAATAGTTTAGGTGATGGATTTGGGACTTTGAACTCCAGTACAATTTTTTTTCTTTCCAAAAATATGCATTTTAGATTTTTTTTTTTCAGAAATGTGACATGCATTTTTTTTCAGAATAGCTATTGTAATCTTTTAGGATAGTAGTTTGGAAGAAGAAAAGGCATGGTGGATAGTTAACTCAACAATTTGACTTAAGAAGTGGACGAAGAATGACCACTACAATCTTTCAGATGAACCCCCTATTTGTATTTTGGTCAATCCAAGTACATGTTTGGATGTTTGAAGACTCATGTATCAAATGAACCAATTTATTTTGTTGTCTCTCTCTCTCTCTCTCTCGCTAGCATAACTTAATCTTCGCTACCTTTTTTTCCCCTCCATTGCTTTCTCAATGTCTTCTTATGTGTTTTTACTCAAAGACACTGACAAAAGCATCAGTTAGGAGGAAAATATCAACGCCAACTTTCTAGAGAATGTGGTGTACCATAAATGCCCCCAAACAAATAATCATGTGTAAGTCACATGTTTTGTAGTTATCTGACTTAACAACTTATTTTAACAGAAGGTGGTGATTAAAACAAATAAAATAGTTGAGGGGGCAAATTAAAAATAATTTAAAGTTTAGGGGGCAATTTAAAATAGAACTCATAGTTTAGGCGTATTATATGTGATTTACCCTAACTTTTAAGGATGGTCTCTCTCTCCTTCGAGAGAGAGAGAGAGAGAGATGTCGAGCTTTCCGATAGTCTGGTCGTCTGTACCTGTTGGATCCAGACCATTCAAACCTTCAAATGTCATCTTGCCTCAATATCGCTTCAGGCAAGTCTCTTCTCTTTCCTTCTCTTTTTTCGCAGTCAGATTTTTTACGTACTAGTTTTCTTCTCCCAAGATTGTTTGACTTGACTATGTTGAATTATGATGCTACAAGACTTCTCATGTTTTCCTTTAAATTGTTCGGTTCAATTGACCTCCTTTAATTACAGTTTGCATTGCTGGAACATGCGAGCCATTAGAATCTCCTGTGATTACTCCTGCTTCGAAGTAAGTTTCTTGCCGTTTTCTTTTCCTATTTGACTCAAGTTCCTCTCATCGTATCAAAGATACGTACAAAATAAGAGTGTGTGGACCTGAGTATAAAATTTGTCTGTTGTGGTTTCCAATTGAATCCAAGGCAAAAAATATAGAAATTTTACTTAATTTTTTTGGGGATGGGAATGTAAATTTCTTCGAAAATTTTCATAGCAATCACTTGACTGAATTCCTAAATTCTTCATTTTAACGGGCTTGCATTGCCTATGGATATATACATAGGTGCGGAAGGATAAGTTGTGTTGATTTAATTTGGACGAATTTAATTGATGTGATGGATTCTCACAACCTTAATTTATCAACCTACACAGACTACAATAAGCATTTCCTTTTAATGCGTAAATTAAGAGATTGAAGGTCTGTACTGAAGGGAATATATATTAAATGTTGATAATTTTATTACTTAGGTGCATTAAAGTATACCAATAAAGTGTGAGATGTACCTTGAGTTCCTGCCTGATTTCTTTGAGTCTATCAAATCCCATACCCTATGTTTGTCTAGTACTTACCTTCTTTAATACTGCTCTGAGCCGCTTCATTTCAGTTTTCTATTTCGAGGGTAAACCCTTTGTTTCAATTGAGGTTTCATAGCTGAATCTTTCAATTCATACAATTGACATTGCCCTTGAAGGTGATCCTCCGCCCAATATAGGCTTGCCTGAGGGACGAGTTCTCCAGTGTGGACTGAAATGGTCTGGCCATTCACTAAGATTTATTATACTTATTATATCACTGACCGTGTAAGGAGGAGCTAGGACCTAGCCACAAACTTCTTATTTTGTTTTTTGGATAACCCTAGACATTGGTTCTTCTAACCATCTTAGTCCTCTTTCGTATAACAAAGTGAGTGGCAGTGGTGTATTTAAGAGGGAGGGGGAGGCGTGAGCAATTGGATAAGGTATGAGTGGTATAATGAGCTGATTGAAATATGATATGACAGAGTGATAAAATCACCTTGGTGTCTGAATATGCTTGCAATTTGTGATGTTGTTGCCGAACTTTCCTATTATCACTTGTATTCACCATGCTTTAGACAGGTGTTTCATTAAGGAACGTGTTAAGTAATCACTAGGTCATTACCATCTCACCTGGAGTACTTTAGTATCAATTTAACAGGGTCGGAGGTCATTTACAAACAACTGCACCCTACACATCTTCTTTTTTTACCCAACTTTATTTATCATTATTTCAGTTGGATATGGCATGCATTATTCTTTTGCTACCTGCTCTACTCTGTTTTCTAATTTATACAGAATATTGTTATCAGCTCTGCACTTATGTGGTTTTCTTCTAAGTATCGTAGTATTTCCTTTACAATCGATCCAAAAAAGTGTAAGTGCTATCAGTTCCTGAAACACTATGATTGGTTTTTTTGAGATAAGGGATCTTAGCTATCAACCTCCGGGAACTCAGATCAACCTTTTGAATGGAGTTACCCTTTCAATTCCTGAGAAGAGGTATGTGCATGTGTCGTCTTATATGATTGTAAACAAGTATTACATTCTTGAGGGCATCCAAAGTGGTTCTACTAATTTTGTGTCTGGCTGTCAAGTGTCAACTGTTCTGTATTGGGGCTGACCCAACTTGGCCTTTTGTAGGTACTCTTTTTGCCATTAGAGGAATATATGATAGCTTAGATGGTCTGAAACTCCAATTTAGTGAAAGTTTCTTGTAGAATGTATGATGTTGGATTATAGTCTATAGGACGATGTATTCCTTCATTCTTACCAAAAATTTTGCTTATGTACAGCAATGCTATCATCCAGCTCTTCTCAAGTTTTAGTAGACGTAAGGTGGTTGTAGTCTGCTAAGGATACATGGGATTATGTTCTCTTGTGTTTGTTGCAGTTTTGGCTTGATCTTTGGAAGGAGTGGAAGTGGAAAAACTACTCTCTTGCAGGTCTACCTCTTAATTTGGGATTTATTCTGTAGATATCATCTTTTGACATTTTCTACGCCTTTTCACTTTTTCCGTACAGCTGATTGCAGGGCTAAGTAAACCGACATCCGGCTCCATTTATGTCCAAAGATATGGTGATGATGGCAGCACAAAACAGTCTCCAGAACTGTTATCCCCAGAAAAAGTAGGCATTGTTTTCCAGTTTCCTGAGAGGTAACAACTTGTTGACATGACAGTAGAATTTCCTATATTTATCTGAGGTTTGCATCATTTGGATGATATGATGGTTGTGGTAAATCAAATAACCAACCAGTTGGTAGTCACAGGTTTTCTGTCAAGTTATTTGATATTTGATCCTTGTTGCACTATGACCACAGTATGAACCAGAATGACTTCCTGTTCTACCTATTCGCTGGTGTTCATATTTCTCTGTTAATGTCTGTATGCGGCGGCATATCTTTCTTCGTCTTGTTTTCGTTCATTTTGTCCCTTGATTATGCCAAGTGCAAAGGGATTTTGAGTACTAGAAGTCAATCCTGACCAATTATGCTGAAGAATATTCTCCCTTTTCTGGTTAACTTTTTTGACTGCTAATTTTGGTTCTTTGCTTGATTTTTGCACACATATTAGGCACTTCTAGTTATTTTATCATGTGACATATATGTATGTGATTATGATCTTGTTTGAGGTGTGTAAGATGGTATGTTGTGGGTCAGGTACTTCGTGGCGGACAATGTTCTTGATGAGGTGACATTTGGGTGGCCAAGACAAAGGGGTGGCCCTCCACTGAAAGAGCTGCTTGCTTCAAGACTCCAAAGAGCTATTGCTTCAGTAATCTGTTTTCCATGTTCAAGTTCTATGCAACTCTTAACATATTAGTTGTCCTCAGTAATGAATACCACTATCTCGTATGTAACTAAAACACTCAGGTTGGTCTTAATGGAATTTATTTGGATAAAGATCCCCACTCCCTAAGTGGTGGTTACAAACGGCGGCTTGCCCTGGCGATTCAGTTGGTGAGAACCTCACTCTCCCCTGTCTCTGCTCGTAATTGAAACCTTACCTCATGTTATGATAATCCTTTGTATAGTTGTCATTTGTAGGTTAATGATTTGACTGCATTATGTTTGTTGACCTTACTCAGGTACAAACTCCGGATTTATTAATATTGGATGAGCCCCTTGCTGGTCTCGGTATGAAAATGTCTTTTGGATTTTCAATCCAAAAAATTTTATGTTTTGATTGCTTCCTTGCTTTCATACTCTATATGAACTGTAGTTTAGGGACACTGGGAGTCATTGAATTTAGCAAACCAATATACCTCATGGAAGCTCTCTCGTATTTAGATGCTTTCTAAACAATTAGAGAATAGTTCTTGCCCTTTGCAGTAAAAGGGTTGACAGTTGCTGCAGACACAATTTTTGATAGACTGGTTACTATTTGAACTCCAGTTCATGAGAATAACTGCCAGTCTGAGCTGGGTCTCTGGCTTCTAAACTTTAAATCCAATGTTTTGTGTAGTTACTTGTTAACCATGAGAAAGTTATTCGTAGTAATTTCGGGCGCAATTATATATCTAATTTTATGCCTCTGGCTGTTTGTCAATATCCATCTTTTATCTTCTACATCCTTCTAGACTTCTTTCTTAAAGCACTGAAATATTGTCATCTGCTACTTTGGAGATTAGATTGGAAGGCACGTGCAGACGTCGTAAAGCTGTTGAAGGATCTAAAGAAAGAAGTAACTTTACTCATTGTTAGCCATGACCTTAAGTAAGTTATTGGTTTCCTTGTGTTGCTCTTGTAGTTTCTTTAGCATTAGCAATCCTCTTTGTCCTTGTTGGCAGGCATTTCAACACCACCAACAACAAAGAAAACAAAAATCTTCTTGTCACACTGTTTTTCTTGCGATCTATTGAGGGCTATAGTCATAATTTCTATGTTAAGTATTGTCCATCACTGACATTGAGAACTTGAACCATTTTCCAGTTAAAGTCATTTATGGGAATCCCTTATTGTTTTTTGTTTGGAAAAGGGAAAATATGGAAATGGTTGTGCAAATGTGCGAATTTTTTTCATTGGGTCCACTTTTAATGATGTCACTTTAATCCTCCAAATTCCAATTTGTGTCATTATTTTCCAACTAAAAAACAGTGGTTTAAATTGAATAGCAGAAGAGGTCATGTGCCCACTTGAGGAATCACGTTTGTCACTGTAGTTTGCCATATGTGTTTCTTTAGTCCTTATCCTTTCAATTTGTGTCTTCTAGGTCCAATCAAAAACGGTAATTTAAATTAACTGCTGGAAGTGGTCACAGACCCCTCCCATGACTGCACTTGGGGAGAGGGGTGGTCAAGTTGGTCCCATCAATATTTTGTTTCCAGTTGGAACCTTTAGTCTCACAAGTTTGAGAAGAATGCCCCTCAACTATGGTCACGAGAGATGCACATTGCCTATTCCGTTAGTCAATTTCAACTGCTTTTATCGATGGGACCAATGTGACAAAATTTGATTTCTAGGGGGTAGAGTGACAAAAATGGAAGAATGAGGACCAAAGTGACACAATATGTATATTTGGGGCAGCGTTACTGTAATTTGACCATTTTGAAAACTAGAAACCTTATGAAATCAAATCATTCCAATGCTATAGAACATTTTGCAATCCTTATTAGATTGTCCTTTTGACATATACAAATGAGAAGCAATTGTTGCATTGGCTTAGTAAATTAAGGCATGTTAGTCTGGTTCATGTTTTTATACACTGGACCATCCTTTTGATAAGTGTCAACTACATCTTGTATATAGATTTACAAGATGAATTAGACTTTTACATCAGCGGTAAAAGTGATTACAAGACTGCTATATATTTTAGCTGCTCTTTTATTTCATATTTTGTGCATTTCATTATAAGTTTGCTTATGATGGAGCTATTGGTGTACTTCAGAGAGTTTGCACCTCTAGTTGATCTATCCTGGAGGATGGATATGGGTGGAGTACTTAAGGAGGAGCCTCTAAAGGTTTAATCTTCTCACTATATTGTTGCTTATCAATGCATGATACTTCGAATGAGGTACGACTTCAATGCTTTTGGTTCTTTTGTAGTGTCTGTTTCAACAGATCCTTTTCTAGAGATGGAAGTTTGAAGTTTGTTTATTTTTGAAAGAAAGATTGCAACATGAATGCTTTGGGAGTCTAGACCCTGCATGGTGATTCTCACATGTTCAGTAGTTCAATGCATTACTCGTGGATTTCTGAGTGGAGACTCGGGGTTTGAACTATATGTATGTCTGTTTTTTTTTTTTTTGATAAGAAGCTATTCAGGAATTTCATTTACATAGGAAAATGTTGGTTACAATCAGATGACTGTAAAGCCTTAAGCTCGGGCGGGGGGCAGCTAACCCAACTCAGTGGAATTGAGTTAGATAAAGTGTGCGCTGCAACCCAATGAGCTGCTCTATTAAGAGCTCTTGGCTTGTGCAAAAACCTTAAATTTAGGACTCTAGAAAAATGTCTAATGTCATCAACAAAAGCACTAATTTCCCAAGGGGGAACTCCTTCAGATGAGCTCAGCTTAACTATCTCCATATAGTCGCTTTGGATGGTCGCCTGTTGGAGCTTGTGATGAAAATGCAAGGAGACATGCTTCTCTGACTGCAGCAGCTTCGGAGTACAAGCTGGAGACTGCAGGGATACATTTTGCAATACCTTCCGATACAAACTCATTAGAATCGCTCAGAATCACCCCTATAGCAGCTTCTCCCCTCTTGAAAGCTCCATCACAATTCAACTTGAGATCTCGGAATCAGCTTGGAGATTGTTCGTGCTGTTGACATACCTCATCCTGCTGACCTCCTTGCCTGTCCTTACCAATTGAATTCACCTCGCTCCACAAATTATGTGCTCTCAACATCGTGGCTAAGGCATTGGGGTCTTCTTGCTTGAACACAAATTGATTTCTTGTATTCCAGATAGCCCATGCAGTTGTTGCCACTTTCCTCATGGTGATGCATGTGACCATTTAATGCCCTACACTAAGAAGCACGGACACCAACGGGACACGGATATGGCATGTCACGGACATGCCAATACGAAATTTTTAAAAAAAATATGACACTGACACTTTCGGGATACATTAAATATTACGTGTGTGTATATAAATGCTACACATTTTACATTCTCACCATCCACTTGTATCCGCTCTTTTAATCTTACCTCTCTATTCTAATAAACATCTTTGTGAAGAGATCAACCACCAATTAAATATATAAATATCATGTGATTAAAAATATATGTTTTGATAATGATCATTCAATTCATCCTCTATATATATTTGTACATGTATATGATAAATTAAATATATGTTGATAATTATCATTCAATTCGTCATGTTCTTAATTCTAACAATTCATATCATGATATCGAATAAAAAATACAATATCACCTATACCGATACACATTCATCATAAAAATCCATGATTCAACATTCAAGTAATCAACGTGTACTAATATTTCCATTTTAAAAGATATCCCACTTTGCAATTCTAGTTTTCATCTATTTCAAAGAACCCTAACTTCATAACCTCATTTTTCATCACATTAATTTCGTTTGTGTCCGAAATTATGCTATATTCATGTCCTATGTTCATGTAGTGATTATAACTTTTTTTTATATTATGGCTTTGACCCATATCTCTTTAAAATTACATGAATAATTTCCTTAATTATAAAATTACTTGACAAGTTTTCAAAATTTTGAAAAAAAAAATCTCAAAAACGTGTCCTCCATGTTGGTCACGTGTCCCGAGCGTGTCAATCGTGTGTCCAAAACGTGTCCTAAAAAAATTTAACAATGACAAACTCGGACACTCATTTTAGCGTGTTCGACACCTGTGCCCAAAATAGGGTGTTGGTGCTTCCTAGACCCTAGAAAAAGGTACTAGCTCCGTAGCAGAGCTAGTCACTGGTCATAGTGTGATGGACCTACTAAACTGGAGACAACCTTAGAATGTTATGTATAAAGGACATACAAGTCCTATCCCAAAAAAGGAGTAGGAGATAATTTGATTGGAATCAAATGATCACGAGATGGATATGGATTTGGTAGAATTTGTGGGCTATGTCTTCCACGCTGCTTCATGTGCTCCTCCGGGCACCAGATCAACAACTGTGAACTTCAAATTTATAACGTGATATTTCACTCAATCCAAACTGCTCATGGGTAGAAGTTTTCCAAAGTTTGAATCTAAATGACTGATTATGAGAGATATTCATCTGAGAGCCAGAGCCATATATTCTCAACAGTTTGCTTGACATTCTAGCAATTGAAATAACCCACACAGACTGGGACTTATACTTAAAAACTTTAGCCAACAATCCATTAGTTTGACATCACACTGAAGTGAGAGGAGGGCTGATCCTTTATTCTTCTTTTTCACTTGAGCATCATCATTTCATGACTCACAACTGGCTAACATATTCAGTAGCACACTGCATCTAATCAAACTGCCCATTGACACCTCTTGAAGAGGATGAGTGCTGATTTCTGTTGCTTCTGTCTTTACAGTTCCAACACCAAGTCTACAAGGCAAATAATTGGAAAGTGAAATTAATAATTCAGTAAGGGAAGATATATATAGTGCGTATATTATGGAGATATACTTACAGTCTGCATCTGTTTTAATCCAGTACTCCGTATTCCCAGCTGAACCACCACTGTTGAGCCTCTTATGAGATGGGTTCAAGGTAGTGAATTCCTTCTTTAGCACAGATATGTCAGGGAACTTTCTGTTGTCTTCATTGACTGTTGGATCTCCATTGTGATAGCCACCATCACCGGAAGTATCCTTGATCTGACATCTCTGTGCCTTGGTGAGCTGTTTGTCAGCTGCTGATTTTTCAGGATGGATTTTTTTGTGAAACATTCTTAGGACCTGCATACACCTCATAATTGAACTAGAAGTGAATATAATATTATTCTCCATCTACATTACTGAACACTCAAATACTGTAATTTAGTCTGTTGTCCAGATCTAAAAGCTTTTTATATTGTGGTTGCATTCAGTTATCAAGATTGTCCAAGGACCATGCTTTGGAAAATACAGAGAGATTATGATTATAAAAGCTCGTTTGTAAGGATGCTTTGATTGTCAGTTAGTAGCTATGACCCATTTTTTTTTTTAAAAAGGTTGCTAGCAGCAATCTACATAACAAGATCTAATAGACATGATTTTTTTTGCTTTGTTTTATTTATATTTCTTAAAGTCTACCATGATTTAAATGTTCTCGGTGGTCTAGCCTTTGTGAATGCACAATGTGGGTAATCACCTTTAGAACACCCTCTATGGAGGTTCTTTTTAGTCATGAGGCAACAGAATCTGACAGTCTGAACCATCTGATTCATTCTATTTTGATTTGCCTTGCTTGTTCTGGCAATGCATCTCAAGACATATTTTTTTTTGGGCATTGTAGACTATTGGTCATCAGGATTGTTGAAATTTATCAACTGCTTATGCACAATCATTTGTGGACCTAGTCTCTGATAAGTCACCCTTAGAAGATCTAGATCTAGTAGCAGGTGACCAACCTTAGGTAGTTTCCTCTTTGAAATAGATTCATTAGCATCACAACTCGCAGAAGCTTTACAGCTCCTTGAGGACTGGAGCTTTTTCAATATGTTCTTCATGAAGCACGAGGCATATTTTCCCTTGGATTGTTTCTCCTCTTTGCCGCATTTCTCGGTGGAATGTTCGTAAGCAATGGTATTCTGCTTGAAGAGCTCCCCAAGTGAAGTCTTTTTTTTCTTTGCCTCCACACTTCTCTCAGGCAATTCTATTGAAGAGCCAAAAAGATATCCCTGCAGTGGGCAAACCCCCAAATTTTCGTCCTCCTCGGCATCTGCGCCTTCAATTGGCTTGCCACTGAGCGTAATAATGCTTGCATGACTGCTTCTCTCAGATGATTCATTGCTTACCTCTTTTGCTTCAGCTTCAAGGAACTTCTCTAGCTCATCACTTATAAGCTTCAATTCAGTCTCTGTTACCTGTTTTTCCCCTGCTGTTGCATTCTGGAAAGACATTGAAAATGTTGGTGTCTCGGGCTCTGTAATGAGGGATTCTGAACCAAGAGTTCCAATTGCAAGAAAGCCATGGAAGAGCTCGGAGATCAGAACAGATGATTCTTCTTTGAAATCCTCTTCTGCTTTGTTGGTTTTCAGTTCACCACAGGATCTGTCCCATTCTCTTTTGGGCTGCTTCAAGCTTGCAGCATTGTAGTTGGCCTCTGTATAGTAGTGCGGCTCATCGAGCAATGGCTGCCCCGAAAGACAAGTAGTAGAGATTCCTGAAACCATAAATGACAAAAAGGAGTTATAACCGAGTCTTATCAGTGATATATTGTTTGTCTTTCTACCAATTGGGGTGTTGGGAATTGATGCAACCGGCTGACTCCTGCAGGCCATAGGAACATGCTACTGACAAGGCTTGTAATTTGCATGCATGGAGAGAAGGGAAAAAAGGGGATTACCAAATCCTCACAATGATTAGGTTAAGAAACTCCATTCTGAACAAAGAATATTCAAATCCAAATTCAACTATGATTAAAATAATGGGATTAAATCTTTATTTATAGACTAAGTGTCCTACTAAAGTAAACTGCTGTCCTATTAAAGTCATATCAACTTATCACTAATAATTGTAATTTGATAAATAATTAAATACTATCTCACCAAAAATTCAAATGATAAATAATGAAAATAACTAATAATAATCCTAACAAATCTACCAGGTGCATTTCCCTTTGGACCAAAAACTTTTAGTCTTTCGCCTAGGTTTCCAAATCTGGGCATGTCGGTCCAACCATCCAATGACTACAATATCAATTCTCCCCTACACCATCAACCATCCAATGGCTACACCAATAATACCATTTGATGAAATAGTTTGTAGAATGAATGATGAAGTCTTCTTTCATTAATGATTAGGCTTCTTTGTGGCAACCTTACAAGAGGAAGAATAACACCCAATATATGGTCGTCAATCAAATCAACAAAATTAGTCTCGTTAACATCAATGGACTCCATAATTTGTATCTCAGATTCTGGTTCATTAGACTCTTAAGTCTCCTTGGAAATTTTTTGCTCACTTATTGCAACAAGCTTTGTGGGGCACTAGAAAGACAATTTCCAAACTCTTGACAATTGAAGTATCTCGTCTCGGCAGTAGGTTAGTACTCCCTTGAGAAGTAGAAGTATCTCTAGGTTGTGCTAATTTATTAGGTGTGAAAATACTCTGATGTGGTTTGCTAGAGGTCTTGCCTTGATTTGCATCTATAAAAGTCCTTTCACTCCGAGTTGTAGACACCATAGAAGAACTTAGAGAAGCTCTCTTTTTTAAATAGTCTTTCACTTGAGAGGCAATCTGAATTGCATCCGCCATAATATAAAGTCAACTTGCAACTAAGCCTTAATAAATCCACGTATTGAGTCCTTGCCTACACATGACAATCATCACATCTTCAATTCATAGAAACTCTAATCGGGTGGCCAACTTGTAGAACTCTCCAGTATGGTCCTCAACAAACATGCTTTGCTGGAATCAACTGTGTAAACTGAATATGAGCTTGTTGCTTAAAATTGTTAGGCATTCATGTCATCCCATAATCTATCAATGTGTGAGTTTGTTGGTTCTTTCCACCAAAGTCTTATTATGTCTATCATCACAAATCTATAGTTTAACCTCTTTATTAACCTCAAGCAATCTTAGATCTTCTCAGACTAAACCTTGTGATGGAGGGGCTTGGACAAAAATCTATTGATGATTGATAGCTGAGGAAGATGAATCAATATTAGCATTATTTTCAATTCCTTTACCCTTCTGATACAAGACAATAGCCTTCAGAGGTTTCATACTTTCTTTTAATGATGTCATATTTCTTTCCATGTTCTCTTTTAACGAGGCCATATTTGTTTCTATTGAAGTTACTATCACCATATTCTTGAGATAAAGGCTCCATTTTGACATTTAATTTGGCGCTTGAGACCATTTAGATTGCTGTAATGATTTAAAATTTTCAAAAAATTTTTTGGGTTAAACTATAATTTTAGAAACTTAAGGGGTTAAATATGTAATTTTAGAAACTTTAGGGGTTAAATATATAATTTCAAAAACTTCAGGGCAAAATTTGTAGTTTCAAAAACTTTAGGGGTCAAATTTGTAATTTCAAAAATTTTAGGGGCCTGAGTTTGTACTTTTAGAAACTTCTGAGGAAGATTTTGTAATTTCAAAAAGTCTTGGGGGTGTTTGTACAATTTGAGAAGTATTGGGGTCAAACATTTGGCGTCTTTGTTTTTCTTGATGGGTTAGGTCCAAAATATGATAAAAGAAGTTTGGGTCAAGAAATTTTAAGTAAGCAAACTGGGTTGGTTCAAATTAATGTAGGTCAAATCAACCCAATTTTAAAACCTAGCACTCAAAGCAATTACAAAATCGTCTTCTTCATGGCACTGTGAAAACCCTATAATGTCACTGTAACTACAGCCACACATAACAAGCAACCATATGTAACAACACCACAATCAACAATAGTGAAACTTAGGACAGAAAAACGATGCAGCTAAAGACAACGAAGAAAGCAACAGTACATAGTTTCAAGCCAATCTTGGTTCCTTACACTTGCGACATGTTTGAAGTTCTAAAACACTTTTTTTATTCCAATAGTTGCACTATTGGCTAGAATAATTGTTGGCACCAACAATTGTTAGTGAAATGGAACAAAATATGTCGAACTATTTGGCGACTTGAGGAACTATAACAACAGTAGATGTTGTCTGTATTTTATAACCAAAATCAGAGATTGATTCTAAGAGTGTAGTAAGATGAATTGGGGTGAGGGTAGGACCAAGCTATGAGGGAGCAAAGTGCGTGTAGGCTAAGCTACATAATCGATTCCAATAGCATAGACTAAGCTACAATGGATCGATGTGAAGTTCTGATACCAATTGATGTAGTGAGAGAACGAAAGAAAGGGGATTACCAAACCCTTGCAAGGATAAGGTCAAGTGACACAATTGTCAACAGAGAAAATTCAAATCAAAATTCAACTCTGATTAAAATAATACGATTATATCCTTATTTATACACTAAGTGTCCTGCTAAAATTAACTACTCTCCTACTAAAACTCTATCTACTTATCTCTAATAATCTTAATATGATAAATATTATCTAACTAAATATTCAAATAATAAAAATAACAAAGAATAATCCTAACAAATCTACAAGGTGCATTTTCCTTTAACTAAAAACTCTTAACCTTTCGCCTAGCCTTCCAAATCCGGGCATATTGGTCCAACCATCCGCTGGTTATGCCATCACTTGTATTCTTGGCTAACAAAAGAAATATGCTCCTTGTCCATCTTTTTTGTTGACTTTTTTTGTGCGGGCACAGAATTCATGAATAAAGGCAAATGTACTGCCACTGGAAATAATCTACTACAACATATTGTTGTCTTTATGATGCAAGGAACCTTTGCACTCTATGGTTTTTGTCATAGTAAATCCAACTAACAAGAGAGAAAAAAAAGGAAAAGGAAAGGATAACTGCAATCCTTTGGATTCTAGTATGAGGGATTGGGTGACAGTGGATTACCAATCGTGAAATTCTTTAATGGCTCAAAGCTGTTTTGCCTTACTTTGCGGTGCATCCAGCCTAGTAACTGCAATCATGACAGGCAAAAGATGAAGTTAGAAGGGTTGATTTGTGTTTATGCCAAATTCTGAAGGATTTTGACTCACCTTCATCTTGAACTTCTGTGAAGTGGTTGATGATGGATTGGTCTGGGATATAGATGGTGATAGAATGGAGGAATGCAATTTAAAATAATTAATTTAGGACTAATGAAGGATGAGAACATGGAGGGATCTTGTCATCATTATTGTTGACAGGAAGCCAGGGATTCCTAGAAGAGTCTGACATGGGGATGAGCAGTGAGGAACATAAGGAAAGATACAAGACTATGGTTGGCTGTTTTTTGTCAAGGTTGTGTGATGTGGATGAGTTGTGGAGTGGGTTTGGGACCCACAGATTGGTAAGAGTACATCACAGAGGCACTTGCATTCTTGCTTGGAGTAAGTGCACAATACTGAAATGTGTGTACTGTTGGCCAATGATCAATTGAGGTATGAACGCATACTGCAAATATGTTTTGCATGGGTGTCTCACATGACATGCATCTGGGCACTGGTGTGCAGTGAACTCAAGGGATGTTGGAAGGATTCACATGAGATCTTAGATTTATGCATAAATCAGATATGTCTGTACCTTTTCTGTCTACGTGAATAATGGTAGAATGTGTCTTCTATGATAAATTGTTTTACGAGGTACTTGGTCGGGGAGGAGAACCCACCATGATAGGTAGGAGTGCTATATATATATACAACTGAAAATTCAATGGCTGTAATAACCAATTGTAGTTGTACCTTCTGTGTTTTCCACCTGAATTAGGCTGCAATTACAGATGATCAAGTAATAATTCTCCATCCTCCCTTTATGATATTTTTGGAACTTCAAAGTTATTTGAGTCTTGATTGGTCAAATTATTAAACTGATTTATATCTAAGCTCTGTTACAAGAAAGATGCATCATATTAATAGTGGTCGCAAATTGGTGCTGGTTCTGCAATGGATTTTAATCAATACAAAGTGCTTACTCTTAACAAATAAATGGTGATGCAGCTTTGTTTTGCAATTTGTGTCAGAAACAGGCATTTTCTACCATCACGTCTATATATCTCTACTTTAACTTATATGGCCTTGGAAATTGAGTGATGCCATGAATAATGAGTGTGCCATGAATAATGGAACCATGCATTTATGCAGGGATTATCATAACTAACACATAATCTTGATGGAAGCTGCCCTTCTCAATTCTGTTGATGGTTGTGGAAATAGTTTTCCTGTTGAGCAGCTGACTTGACAGGATCATCGGCATGGGAAATCTTGGTATACCCCACAAGCATCTCTGAATGTCAAATTGATCCAAGGGGGAAATTATTTTGAAATTGATGACAGGAAACCATGCAATCATCTTGTTTACAAGTATGTTTTGTAGTCTATGGAAGACTATCAGTCTCTCTCTCTCTCCAGTTTGAAATAACATAGTTGATTGAGATGTGCAGTGCTTAAATTTGAGGAGTTTATGTATGTCAATCCATGAACGTTAAGAAAAGAAAACCTTGGAGATGTAGATGCTATAATGCTATGGTTCAAAGCAGGATTAAAATAGGTGTTTGGATAATTTGAGCCCTTGTCTAACATAACAATACAGGGGAGGACGTATAGAAGACTGAGGGAGCT